ATATTTATTTTTTTGGAATTTTCAACAACATTTTCCCACCCCACATGGGGTCAAAAATGTGCCAAGAGGAAGGAAAGAGCGAGAGGAGCACACTAGCTTTCAAAATGCCGCAAATTAAAATTTTCACAAAAATAAATAAATAAATAAATAAGGAGGTGGAGGAGAGTGTAGAGAAAAACTAAGTTTTGGAGTTTTTCAAAAATTTTGGCAGCATTTCGTTACCCCCATGGGGTCGAAGTGTGCCGTCAAGAAAAAGACAAAGTAAGATGGGAAAATTTGGCTAGCACTTCGCTACCCTCAAGGGGTCAAAATGTGTTGAAAAAGACCAAGTAAAGAAAAAACAAAAAATTTCGGCAGCACTTCGTTACCCCCACAGGATCAAAATATGTGCCGAAAGCAAGAATGACTAACTCCTAATAAGATTTGAGGGCGCCGCAAGGAAATTCAAAATTTCAAAATAAATAAAATAAAAATAAAAATAAATCAAAAAAATGATAAAAGAAGTAGGGAATAAGATAATTCGAATTTTTAGAGGAAAAGGGAAAATTTAAGTCAAAGAGAATGAGAAAAGAAGAAAAAACAGAAAAATTCGAAGTTGGGGGGGGGGGATTGGAAAAGTGATGAAGAAGGAGAGAAATAAGTAAGAAGAGAAAGAAAAAGTAAGGTGGGAGATGGGGGAGATGATGGGGTTGTAGTTGGGGGAGGGAAGAGGGAGAGGAGGATGATAGAATGGGAGAGAAGGATATGGAAAAGGTAGAGAGGAGTAGATGAGATTAGTAGAAGATGGTGAGTGGGGAGGAGAGGAGAGAAAAAGGTTGTGAAAGATAAGTGAAGAGGGAGGTAGGAGGAGAGGGGCCAGTGGTAGGGTTAGAAAAGGTGATGAGATAGTGTAGAGGAGAGAGAGAGCGAGGGGGGGGGAGAGTAGGTTAGTCGGGAGAGATGATACCAGGCTCTTGGTTGGCCAAGAGCAACAAGGTCACCAAGATCCCCAGGATCTTGGCCTTGAAGGTGCTGGCAGCCTGCTGCGAAAGCAGAGAATAATAATAATAATAATAATGAGATAATCAAAGGTTGGTTGAGATCTTGATCAGCCACCCTGATTACACTGACGCGCAGCACCCTAGGCAGGTGGGTCTTCACTGCTGCCAGAATGCTGCTGCAGTAGTAGGAGAAATCATCATCATCATCATCATCATCTGGATGTGCTGAGATCTTGATCAGCCACCCAGATCTCACTGTAGTGCAGCCCCCTAGCCAGGGGGGTCTTCAAGTGCTGCCACGTGGCACTCTAATGGCCACGGGGAGGAAGAAAGGAGAGAGAGGGGCAACCACTCTTTTGCCAATAACTTTTCACCCCCTGGGTGAAATTTGGAAAAAGAGGACTTGTTGGAAAGCTTTTTGAAAGTCGCTTCCAACAAGATAAGGCGCAGCATCAGACATTGCCTGCAGAAATAGCGCTCATTGAAAAAACGAGGGCGGGTGGTTTTGGGAGCTTCAAAAAAAAATTGCGATCTTTGAAAGATCGTAGCTTCTCAACCACCGCACAGAAGTAGGCATTCTATAGCTTATTGGAAG